TGAAGGAGAAAGCTCTAGATCGCATTAAGTGGAGGAATTGTTTTGGAACAGACTGTGGACCCGTCGTCTTGACAGATTACTGATGATGATGATGATGATGATGATGATGATGATGATGATGATGATGATGATAGTCATGCAGTCAGAGATACAGATTATACAAGAAATGTTTATGAGGGCAGGCGACGAACCGGCTGACAAGTCATGCGAAGTCGACAGACTGAACTGTTACTAGGTAAAGACAGTTCACATGTACTTAAAGACAGTTGAGACACATAGTACATAATAACCTGTAGTCCTAATAAATGATGGGTATAGCTACTGGCTACGGGCTGGACGACCGAGGGGTCGGAGTTCAGAGTCCCGACAGGGTCAATAATTTTCTCTTCCCCACGTCATGCAGACCGGCTCTGGGGTCCAACCAAACTCCAATCCAGTGGGTACTGAGGAATCTCTCCCGGGCGTCAAAGACCTCCAGCTAATGCCGAGGTTAAGAAAATGTGGATCTATACATTCACTCCCCCATACGCGTTCATGGCTTAGTGTTTAAATAATTAAGCATAGGGACAACTTTATCTTTACCTAATGAATGACGGTTTAAACGTTAAGTACACGTATTTAACTCTGCAGAGTATGATCAAGTCCGCTTTCTGAAAGAAGTTTCACGAAGATTTAATTATGTGGCTGAGTTGTGTAATTGTGAAACACAGGATCTTGCTTTGAGGGAATAAAATAAATTCTTAGAATTGTATTTGATTCGAAAATAGATGAAAAATGAGAAATTTCGGACACAACTATTGCAAGAAATACATAGAATAATTTTATACAAGCCACTTAGTGTTTTTACGGCATTCAACTGGATATTTTGTAATGTTTTGGCCATGTAATTTTTATGAAATGCGTACAGAATTTTGGTAGGTAAACGTCTTGGAAACTGATTACTTGTTAAAACACGGAAATAATACTGAAAGATATTATTAAAATGTATATCAGGGGAATATTTTGAGTCAATTTGGGATGTTTTTGGATACACTTCAAGATCATACACTTGGGAGAAAACGGGCATAAACAATCTTGAAACTCTCGGCTGTAATACTCATATGATGATTTGCTTGAATTCTATATCGATGTTACTTGAACAAATTATTTAAAATATTTAAGCAATTTTTTTTAGAAGATTAGTAGAGTAGTGCTTGAGAGTAGCTCTTTCTAAGGGGCCCGACTGAGTAGGTGTCTTCCTTCCACACCTGAAGACGGAAACAGATCCAATTTCCGAAAAGTCGTGTTTTATATTTCTTAGAATTTCGGACGATGGAAAAAGTCCAAAAACCCAATAATTCTCTGTGTAAATTATTTTATTGTTAATACATTTATTATGGACTTTAAGGAATTTTACAAAAAGAAGAAAAATTTTCTCTGTGGCTGGAATGAAAAGAAAAACTTTCTCTTAGAACGAAAGAATAGCTGGAGAGGGCAAAGTAAAATTTTGTGCTCAGAATTTACAGAACATTTCATAAATTCGTGGAAGCTGAGTAATGCTTCTCTTAACTTAATAACAGCAACTTGGTTGGCTCTTACCCTGAAAGACTTTGCAAGATAGGTCCTAAAATTGAGGTTATGTATCATCTGTAGCATGCACTTGATATATTTTTTGTTCTAGTTTATGGCCTCCTTTATACCTAACACGCGTCACACCATTTCAATCGTCATCTTTGTTCATGCACCATGCTCGATCAAGTGAGAGAAGAAAAGATTTCCTTTGTCTGCCTTTTTTATTTATTCTAATTTATATTACGTATATGGCTTTGTAAGTTCATAAAGTTGTACCCCGCCAACAGAGATTTCCCCCTCCCCGTGGCCCTTAATTCCCGCTCTGCTTCCAAAGTAGTTGCGGAGACCCTACCAGAGCGCAGGTAATTAGTCGCTAGCTTCACACCGCAGAGGTCTCAGATCCCTAGTCATACCGTGTGGGATTTGTGGTGGACGAAGTGACGCTGGAGTATAGGCTTTCTTAGAGGACTGTGAATTCCCCTGCTAATTCTCATCCGTCATATGGGATTGGTACAAGAGGCCCACTAGTATCATGCGTGTTAACTGGATTCAGTCTCACCCAACACCACGAATTAAGATAGTTTATTTGTTTCCACAGAAAACTCAGAAATTAAGGGACAGTAGATTCTCTTCGCCGTTCTTCTCTGCGAGCCTAGGCTCGTACAAGGACGTGGGGCTCTGGTACTTTCCGTAGGGCTCAGAATCTCGAGTCTTTTTGCCGTCGGTTTAGCTATGCTGAATTGGGACGTTATCTCTTGCTGTAACTGAGATATAATCAATTACATTTCTCTTGGAGACGTGTGGGTCTAAGTAGGTTTTTATGGTGTAGAATGGTGAACAGTTCTGTTAAATCGGCGAAGCTAGCGCCCGGAATCTGAGAGACCATGATAATCCGATTTCGGGTTACTAAGACACGAGGCACTTAAAATATTTCAGCAGAACGAAAAAGAAATTTGGGAACTATATTGGCATCGCATGAGGTTTATCCGAATACGGACCGTTTCTCAAAGACTTAATAAGAAAGTACAACAGAAATATTGCCCCATAAGCAGGGACAGAGAAAGTAAAAAAACCCCTAAAAATATTACTCTGATTCCGTAAAAATTGGTATTTTAAATAAATAGAATAAAGATCCAACACGATCATATAGCAATAAAAAATATACATACATTATTTCGAGAATATTTTCCGGCATTCCCAAAAACTAAGTGAAAATACACGTACGTGTACTTCCGAATCTTGAATACT